AAACTCAAACAGCGCAGTTTGCTTCTCACCTGTGAAGACACCATAATGCGGTTGTCTGAATAAGACGGTAAGAAGCGACAAAAAGAGGGTGCAATTGGTAACGGTACTAATGGCATTGGTCGTAATGTTCTCAGATCATACACCATCAAAAAGCGATCACCAGTCAAATTTCCCATCCTAAAATATTCCCCTCAATGATTTCTCACCAACAATTTTTCAGTGAAGCTAAATCAGATTCTATTTTTTACGAGATTCATTTCACGCTTCTCTCTAAAATTTAAGAAAAAATCATTGACAAGGAGGAAATCAAGGCTGCCCGGCCCCTACACCTCGTCGATCGATGAATCAAAATGATTTCCTAATCGGTGGAAAGAATGATGCTTACGAACAAAAAATATGATAATGGTGATAATTGAGAGTTGTGATTAGCAGATCACACTTCTTTGATGAACATTTTTACGTTTATCCTAGTAACTTCTCACAACCAAAAATGAAATGTTTTCTTTAATTTGTCAAATTCAAAGGTAAACCAGCTTAACCGTGAACTAAACTGATGGCTGATTCAACATCAGGAAGATCAAAATTTCCCAAAAGAAACTACCTCGGTGAATAACCGCAAGTGATCAGTTTATTTCCACAAACATCAAAATCTGCGATAGCGCCTTGATGTGCTTGTAACGCTGAAATGGCGTCTATTGTTGTCAAATGTCGTAATGTTATCTGAAAATTATAACTTAATTTGAACATTCTCACTCTCGAGAACATCTAAATGGATTGCTACTTATTACATACGATTGAAACGAAGATCTTCATTGATTCATTCCACACAAACAAATATATTTCATCGTAGAATGAGTTCAGTCCATATTTTCAGCAGCTTTATCAGCAAAAACTTTTAGGAAATTGTTTTCATTTCGATTTGAGCACTCGTCTTTTGTTATCAATTCATTAACTGAACCACTCGAAAATTGTTTCAAAAGCGGTGAAAACAACGAGGACATGACATTAATTGAAAATAATCAAACGAATGAATGATACAAAGAAATATTCAAAAATACTACAAAAACAAAACAAAACCAACGAACATTTCCATCGGAATCTGAGCTGAATAAGAATTTCTGATTGGAGCGTAACGCCAAACAATTGCTCTGTTTCAGATGCACCTTAAGAAGAATAAAACCGTTATCAAAACACACTTCAGATGCATATCCTCTCAACATCATCAAATTATAAAAATGCGATGCTACAGTCTCTAGTAGACTTTCCAATTCGACTTAAAATCAAAAAACATTCCAAATCATTTATTTGGCGGGACATTTTTTGGAAATATCCTAATTGTAAGAGCATTCCAAAGGCCAAATGTAAAATGTGGACAAGTTTACAGCACATCGAAATATTCTAAAAACCTGTACAATTCAATGATACGCCTTTTGAATGGAGAGAATTTCGTGAAAATTAAACGGCGTGACTGAAAGTAAATATTCGAATGAACACTCCACTCACGATTCGTGCTTCTTTTTGGGTTTCCAGATCGAACTGAATGATTTTCATTTGATCGCCGCCCATCAGAACAGTATGCGGTGCGTCGGCCAATTGATGTATACAGGTTAGGTCTGTCATATGTTCAGATCTGAATGGTTTTTTTTTGTGATTGGCTTATTAGAAAACCATTCGGTTCGTTAACACAAATTCATAAAGCTCACGAATTCCATCAACACAACACAAGAGACTTTCAACTAAAATGATAAATAAACCGATATGACAGAAAATTCAATTGCCTCATTCAAATCTTCAAAAA